GGCACCATGCAAAGGTGCTGGAAGAAAACACCAAGCACCGTATGTGTCCCCGTCATGAGCAAACACTTCTTCATATGTTGTGGGATGGGATGGTGGGTGCAGGAGGGGAAGTCTTTTCCAGCGTTTGTTGGGTTTTAAATCCTCTTTTTTCTTATCTTCTGACTTTTATTGTCCTCCCACGAGGATGTAAATCCAAAGGGCAAAAACATCCCATGGATGCAAACAAGTGTCTGAAGCCATTAAGTTGAATAGATGCTACAAGAGGAAAGTGGAAATGTTAGATTGATAGGAATATGCATTCAAGTAATAAGGCTACGGCCCGTTTACTCAGTGTCCACTGTCATTTGATGGCCTCAATAGTGAGGCTGCTCTGTGCAACATAAACTATCCAGACAAGCTGCTCCCTGCACATCCACGCAGACAACCAAGAATCAAATATGCCCGTAGCGGTACAGTCAATTTCAAACAGACTACAAAACAAAATGTCAGCGACCCGCTCTTAAAATTCAAATCCAACAACAGCGCATTTTAAAAAACCATCAGAGATCCGATTACTCTCGACCGCTTGTGGGGATTTCACAGCAAATCGATGGCCATGTTAGGAGGCGAGATCTGTCTTACCTGGCGAGCTTCACCGTTTCCTACACGACTCACAGTTTTTTTTCTCCTTTTCTTTTCACGGGTATCCAGCCAGACTGCAGGTCGCTGGCAAGTCTGAAGCTTACATCCCCTCAATTATGGAATCTTCCATGTGCCAGGGACGAGTCGATGGGGTTTTTACATCCCTCGGTTGCAATCCACCAACGCGATTGTCGGACTGTCCTGCTCCGGGTGAAAGCCTCCGTAGCCCCGCATCCTCCTGCGATCATTGGCTGCTGGCTCGGTGCTGCAGCTTCAGCACCATGATTCCTGGGACAGCTCCCAGACGCCACACGTCACCAGCGCACGGTGATGCAAGCAGCCAGCTCATTACTAAAACTGTGCACTGACACACACACACTCACACACACGGAGAAATTGTTAATTACTTGTTGTAAGTCACACACCCATTATTATAGTTGAGTTAAAAAAAATGACATTCATGTTTTTTTATCCAAAGGAGGAGATGTTTTCTATTTTCCTTCATGTAAACAGGCTGCAGATAATTGGGCAGTTGCCATCACTTATCAATGATTAAACAATTCAATCAGCAGGGAACACAAAGAAAACACAAATTATTCACAACAGCTCAGTCAAATTGTGCCATTATTGAGCCAAACATCACTTAAAGCTTGAAAGTGGCTGAACCTTACAATTCATTCAATGTAAAAAAGAAATTAAAAGAGTGTTCAAACCCAGTGATGGAAGGAGTACTGCCCTCTTTGCCTGCAACAAACGTAGCAGGGCTTCTATACTAACAGTTATATTTCCACTTTTGATTGATCTGTTATCAGTTTCCAGCATGATCGATTCAGTCTCTAAATGTCAGAGCCGGGTAAAAATGGCCTTCACAACTTCCCAGAGCCCAGGTTGGCCTATTACAATAGTTTTTTTTGAGGCTCAGTTCACCAAAATGAAAGACCATGAAAGCCAGCAAATACCCACATTTGTGATGCAGTAAGCATGCAGAGAGCTTCTTGTTGTTTTTCATAAAACATAACAAAGGATTAACTTGTTCTCTAATATTCATCCGATTTTAGCCAACTAATGAGCAACACTACAATGTAAAAATAACAGTAAGAATAATTCTGGAATTTAACAATTTACTCACAATGCAATATGACCCATTTCCAAGTGCTAATGCATTAAAGGTACAGTGTGTAGAATTTTGTGATATCTAGTGTTGAAATTTCATGTTGCAGCTGAACACCCCTCACCTGTGGTAGCCTTCAGTTTTGATAAAAACTCAAAAGGTGTTTGTTCAGTCTGGACTAATGTAAAAAACATGGCGGCCTCCATAGAGAGGGTCCCTTTGATGTAAATGCAATAAGTACTTAAATATAAAGGGCCTTTTCTGGGGTACAGAAAACTACAATTCATCCAATTTAGATGAAGAAAACTAGTGAAAACATCATCATAAGTATTATTTCACATTCAATTTCTGCCAATAGATCCCTTTCACCTAAAACTTACACACTGGACTTTTAACATGGAAGCATGTTTGTTTGAAATGGAACAGTAAACGTAGCTGTCACAATATTTCCCTCTCACATGCAGTGAAGAAGTAGGTAGTTCAAGATATGAAGTAATCAAATAAATGTGCCTGGTTAATTTTCACCACTGACGAAAGATACTGGCTTAGAAAAGAGTTAAAAATGAACCATTTGTTAAAGCTGGACAGAAAAGACAGACAGAGGTAAAAGTTTACTGGTTATTTAAGGCAGCTTTGAGCAGCCTTATTGAATAATTGCAATGAATGCAGTTGTGGCTGGATTGTATCACTGAGCAGTCTTTATTTTGTCAGAATGTATATAAGATGGTGATTCAGATTCAGACTTTTTATTCATCTCACAGAGGGGAAATTTCCTTATTGCAGTTGCATAAGTACACATATGAAGAAAAAAATTAAATGAAAATTAATAAAAATATAAAGACAGAAACTAAGTTATATACATATAAATAGAGTAGTTGCACTTGTGATATATATATGGTAGAGAAAATAATTATTGCACTGAGAGATTACATTTGAAACTGTGCTATATAAAACAAGCATTGTACATTAAGAGCTACAATGAACAGAAAAAGGCAGATGCTATAAAACTGGGGTTGAAAGGTTACATCACAGATTGTAAATGAATGTTACAGCTGGTTATTGTACAGTTTGATGGCTGAGGGGATGAAGGACCTATGGAAACCTTCTGTCTTACACATCGGGAGCAGCAGTCTACTGCTAAATGAGCTGCTCAGAGCTCCTACCGTGTCATGGAGGGGGTGAGAGGAGTTGTCCATGATGGAGAACAGTTTGACAAGCATCCTCCTCTCACTCACCTCCTCAGTCCAATCCAGAGGGCAGCCCACAACTGAGCTGGCCCTCTTAACCAGCCTATCCAGTCCCTTCCTGTCCCTTACAGTGCAACCACTCCTCCAGCAATCAACAACATACAATACAGCAGAAGACATAAAAGAATCATAAAAAGTCCATAGTAGAGCTCTGCATACCCCGAAGGACCTCAGCTTTCTCAGCAGGTGGAGGCGGCTTTGACCCTTCTTGTACAGAGCGTGGGTGTGTGTGGACCAGTCCAGTTTGTTGTTGAGATGAACACCCAGGTACTTGTAAGAGTCCACAACCTCAATGTCCTTACCCTGGATGTTCACTGAAACAGTCCATTTGGCCTTGCGCCTACAGTCCACCACCATCTCCTTTGTCTGGCGGCATTGATGTGAAGGTGGTTTCCCTCACACCAGCTGTCCATGATGGCCCACCGATAATCCATTTCATTTCCATCAGTGACACAGCCAACAATAGCTGTGTCGTCAGAGAACTTCTGAATGAAGCAGCTGTGGGTGTTGAGTTTAAAATCCTGTATAGAGGGTGAACAGGAAGGGAGAGAGCTATAGAGGTTGCAATTAATGGATTGCGAACAGCGAACTGACAGATCAAACTTTTAGCTCTCACTTGCTGGTTTTCTCTTCTGGCAGATAATTGCAAATGATTGCTTACACTGTCCCAGAAGTAAAGTAGTACCTGATTAAATAGCAATTGAAAAAAGATATAGCCGCAATTTGCAGGTTCAAACCGTTTTGGCTCCTGTGACCACGAGCAGCAATGAGTGCAGTCATTTTATAATTCTGTTCAAAGAAGTAGTGAGACCAGGCGCATACATTCATAGAACTACAGCAGTAACAAAGATACAAGGCTGAGTGTGACGCTGTTTGGATGAGGCTCTCAAGAAAGCTGGATTAACACAGGCCAAGTAAACAGCCCCTACAGGCAGGCATATTTTAAACAGGCAGCACCGAATATCACAGAAGGCAAATTATAATGAACCTGGCACAGAATAAATAGGGTGTACGCTTTCAGGATTTAAAGCCTAATAATCAAAGCAAGAAAGCTCATCGTTCTGGGCCACATAAACACATCAAACACAAACTAAACCCCTTGAGGGTTGAAAGAAGTATTCATGACTATTACTTTAGTTAAGGTAAGAATACTCCATTACAAGTAAAAGTCCTTCACACAAAATATCACTCTCTAAAATCTAAGTGTACTTACAGTATCAAGTCCTTCCTTTCCTTACATTAACATTATGCAGATGTATCTTAATGTTAGTTTGATAATGCACCAATATGTATGTGACAATTTATTGGCTGATGAAGAGCTAATTCATTATTTAAGGAAGTAACCATTCACTATATTCTGCTAAGTAATCATAATGTTTAATGTAATTTGCCAGATAACTATTAACTGTTGTATGTAAAATGTGCAAAAATGTGCAAAAATTACACATTTGTTTATTTTGCTAAGTAAAAGGAGAGTAAACACAGGCACGGCAGTAATTACTGTTTCTTGTTCTTCATGAAATAACACATTGTATTAACGTTTGGTGACAGGTTCATTTTTTAATGTATGTGTGGGCTGCAGCTGTCAGGGGATGAACTTACACCTTTCCACATCATATGTCAACAAAATGTGGGCCTCAACGTTCAGGTAAGTGAAAAAAGAACTTTTTACTAAGAATGTGGTTGTACAGATGTGAGCCAGTTAAACAATATGGAAAGTGCAACTTAGTTTCATACAAAGTCATTAGCAGCATCTTGTTGAGCACAAAAACACAAAAGCCTTTAGTTTTCTCTTAGCTAGTTAGGCTAGGCTAAGCTAAGCATGAAAAGAAGTTAAATCGAGTTAACTGGTCGGTCACTTCACCTTCTCTCTTAATTTGATCATTTTTATTTTTAAGCCAACACATTCAATGTCGCCTCCAAACACCTTCTCAATACAAAATGGTCGCATTTACAGCTTTAAATCTAACTTATATCCAGAGTTAGTGTTGACAGCTATTTTTATGGCTGACTCTCAACATCACCCAGCAACCACCGTCTCCACGTGCCTGCTTGTTTTCCTACGTCACTTCCTGCGCGGCAGATTAAGATACATGCCAGCTGGTTGTTAACCAGCTAAATGGATGCTAACTTCACCTATTAGCTTTACGACCTTACTTTCCCGTCTGGAAACCACATTGCTGACCGTCTGCTCTTCAACGAATGACTGCTAATGTGAACCCACCACCGCTGTGACGCTGCCGGGTACATTTAAAAGAGTTTCTGATCTGTTAGGCTAGCCGCGTTAGCTGCTAGCGTTAACACCAGCAGTGGAGGGAGTGAGTTCCAACGTCTTAGCTCTGAAAGCACACATGGGTCTCCACGGATCACTTGCTAACAGGTGACTAGATGCATTCGTGAGCTCCAAGCGAACTCGTCTTGAGTTTATGCTAGTTAGCGTTTAGCTCAACATGTCTCATCAGCTGACTGCAGAGCAACAGCGTAAGATCGAGGAGAACAGGCGGAGGGCGTTAGAGAGACGAGCCCAAAGACTGGGACAGGCTGCCAGCATCAATAACCAGCCCTCATTTGGGCCCGGTAGTATCTCAGTACATAAACAGGCCCCTGCACAAAGCCTGGCATCGGATCCTGCAGCTCTGGTCCATCACAGAGACTCATCCTGCAGCTCAGTCTCTGCACCAAAGCTGTATGTTCCACCCTCCAAACATAAGCCACAGGGCTTCAACAACCAAAAGCAAGGGCCAACGCATCATCAGTCTGTTAATGGCAACCAGATCAACCAGAGTAGGCAGCTTAACGCTACTACTAAAAGACAGGTGAGATGTTGAGTCATTTATTATTTGGATGAAACACAACTTATCGTTTCCCTAACACCTTTTGCCGTCTTTCCTTATAGATCCAAGTAATCGACCAGGTAATGGTCGGCGGGGGACCAGCTCAGTCAAAACCTAACCTCTCCTCTGGCAGCTCTGGTGGTGGAGCAGCCAGTTCTTTCTACAAGCAAGCGACGTCTAAACCTGCCCAGAGTTCTGTGGCACAGCTCCCCTCATGCTCCTCCACCTCCAACACTGTAGCTGCTAAAAAACCCTCCATCTCTGTGAGAGGAAGATGTGTACCCCACACAGAGGACAGTCGTTTCAGAGTAGAAGTGGGCTATCACGCAGAGCTCATTGCTGTTTTCAAATCCATCCCCTCCAAGAACTATGGTAAGTATCTGCCAATGTAACTGTTTTTTATGCTTTGGCCTTTGAGTCATAGAGGGTGCACTTTACAGCCATAGATTGTCTCATCTTTATGTATAAATGCACATTTTTAGAAATAGTACAGGACTGAAAATACTTGGGCAGCATTGTAAATTCAAAATGTAGCTGCTACTTAAAAACAATATTCAAGGGAGACAAAATATGCATAAAAGGTCTCTTTGTCAAACTGTATTATGTTCTGTAGCAGCTGGTGTTGTAATTTTCAAATAATACCAAGCTTTAGTGCTACAAGGCATTTGTGCACATAGTCGAGATAGAAATACTGAATGTGCTATTGCAAAAGCAGTATGAATTCTTCGTTCTAGCTAAACCTTCTGGATTTTCCTTTGTTGAATAACTCAAGTTTACAAATGTTTCATCCCTTAGCAGTATCAATGGAATAGCAGATTCCAGAGTCCTTCGGGGATATTAAAGTTGATAAAGTATTCTTCTCTATTTTAGACCCTGCAACAAAGATGTGGAACTTCCGCTTGGAGGACTATAAGCAGCTAAGTGTGTACATTAGTAAAATATTAATGGAGACATTCACTGATTTAAAATGTAAAAAGTATAATAAATATTAAGGCATGACAGGATATTTATTTTGTCTGATTTGCTGCTGCATCTGCCCCATCTTGACTTTGCGTTGCAGTGGAGGAGGCAGCCTCTATTGCCTCTGTGTCTCTGAGGCCTCTTGAAGGAATGGAAGTGGTGGATGTTGCTTCCTGCCGAGCTCATAACAGTGGAGCGCTGGGGGCGCTGCTGAAGCTGTGTAATGGCTGGCAGAAACCTGGTGCCACTCTGCAGGGCCAGTGCATCTTGGTTTCTCCAACCAAGTTTGAGCTTGACATTGGTTACAATGTTGATGTCATCGCAGCATTCAAGAAAATGCCAACAAACAGCTATGGTAACAGTGACTTCATGTGATAAAATTAGATTTTTCTGTTGTATTGACACTTTATGGCCTTTGATGCTGAATTGTCTGTTGTTTTGTGTGTGTGTTTGTCAGACATGAAAACAAGAAAATGGAGCTTCTCGCTTGTGGATTTTAAGAAACTCAGTGAGTAACAACATTTGCTTTATTGAACAGGTTTATCTCTGTTTTGTCTCTGTTGCATTTGCCATCTTGTCTGACTGTGCTATGTTTCATACCAAGTGGATCTCCTTGGTGGGATAGCAGCAGTGGAGGTGGAGCCTCTGCCCAGGGCAGTAATCCAGACTTTCTCTGCCAGGTTTGATGGGACTGAAGCCAGGTCTTTGGACGTCCCAAAGGCAGACCTCTCCGCCATTGACCCCTCGCTCACCAACAGCCTTATGCCCTTCCAGAGGGAGGGGGTCAAGTAGGTGTCTTTGAACTTCCATCAATGCTCGGTCTGCCCACTGTAGCCAATAACTCAATACCAGGAGACAGCTTCTTATCTACAATTTGCTTGGTCTTGTGTAAATGAAGAGATGCTTATCATAATGAGTCAATATTTGTGTGCCATTCCTTTGTGATAACAAATGAGTCGATTATAATGGTTTGATCTTTGCAAGTTCCTGCTGTAGCTTTTAATTTCTGTATTTGCTCATGTCCCTTTAGTTTTGCAGTGTTTAACCAAGGCCGCCTGCTCCTGGCTGATGACATGGGTCTGGGAAAGACCGTGCAGGCCATTTGCATAGCAGCCTATTACAGGAATGAGTGGCCCTTACTGGTGGTGGCTCCCTCCTCCGTACGATTCACCTGGGCTGAGGTAATAACATTAGCTGCTTCTGTTACTCCCAACTGTTGTGCATGAAGAAAAGTAGCTCATTACTTACTGGGTTTTAAGAGTTTATCACTTTGTGGGCAGGCACCGTGTTAAGGAAATCCTTCTATTCTCCTCTGACAAAAGCTATGCTAGACACATTATAAAGCTGGTGTCTGCTTGAAGCTCTCTGCATTTGAAGAATGTTAATACTGGTCCCTGAGGACTGCTTGCACACTGTTAGGTGCTTCATCCTCAGTAGGAAAGATGGTAGTATTGAATTTCATCCTTCCGTTTATCTGTCTCATGGGGGCAGATGTGTTGCTAGAAGTGTGAAGCACTTATTTTGATGGAGATGCCTACACAGCTAATTTATTTTGCTAATTTTTTTTTTATTCTCCCTCACTGATAATCTGCTTTTCCTGACATTAAAGCTTTATATTTTTAGGGAGGTTATGTTTTCAACCCTGTCTATCTGTTGGTTTGTATGTTTGTTTGTAAGTAACAAAAACGACTTAATCCAAAAATGACCATGAACGAGCCCATTAGAATTTGGTGAGAATCCAGATCAGGGGGCAGATCCTGGATTTTTTTCACAATTTTCTTTACCAGTGTGAGAGACGGCATTTATCAATGCTGTCACAGTTTTCCCACGGAACCATTAATGATCTAGATGAAAAAATCAGGGAACTGATATCAATGTGTTTAATATGTTTTGACTTGACTAAATTTAAGGGTACTATTGGGCTTTGGTGGAGGTATGGGCTCTACTGGGTGCCATTCTAGTTTACTGTTGTGGTTAGTGTTTAACTAATATATGAATTTGTCTGTAAAATGTCCCAACAAGCTGGGAGCTGTCACGTAATCCTTCTTTTTACAGTCTGTGCTTGAAACATGAAACCATGAATTGATTATCATAATAGTTGCTGTTTATTCTTTTGTCATTTGACTAAAATATGCATCTATACATGTGTATATAAATCTTTTTTCAGCGCTGAGCTTTACAACATTTTTTTAGACTTGTATTTTTGCAGATATTAGATATACAGACAGGTTTAGATCTTTTACCACAAAAGCCACGCCTCCACACTCGATGTTTGAAGCCTCACTGCTTTTTTGTCTGGGTTTTCCCTCTACAGTGTCAATACTCATTTTACAATTCTTCTCAGGTGTCTGTTTTTTGTCCTGAACACGTCCCATGTGCTGCAGCATCTATTTTCTGCAGCAGCATTAACAGGCTGCAGTAACAGAACATTTCAGAAGCTCTCTACTTGGCCTTCTGTCTCTTGACAAGACAAGACAGTCTGTTCTCTAAATAGATATCTTGGATCAAATACAGTCCCCCCCAATCAGGAGCTGGAATCACAGAGCAGAGTTTAGTCAGTTACTCTGTCTGGCTCGGCTCTTATCTGCACTGTTAGTCTTAAGCATTTGGCCAAATCTACTGCAAACATGGGAGCTATGACTTGGTGAGTTTAAGCCAGGTTGACAAGGCAAATGAGATGTCAGAAACATTTGGGCCACAGCATTTTTATTTTCCCCAAACCACACAATTGATTGTCTATAAATGCAGACCCTGTGATAGTAGCTAGGAAGAACTATGACATTCAAACCAGCTCTCAGCCATAAGATCATTCTCTATGATGTTTATTACACATTTCACAGATTCACATTAGCAATGCCTGAAAATCAATAGTGTTAGTCTGGTGAGTTCGGTTCACTCTGCCTCTCTGACATGATTCTTATCTCTGTGTGTAGGCCTTCAGACGCTGGCTCCCCTCCCTCAGTCCTGACAGCATCAATGTAGTAGTGAAGGCCAAAGACAATCTGCGCTCTGGTTTGGTCAACATCATCAGCTACGACCTGCTGAGCAGGATGGACAAGCAGCAGCCAGGAGACCCCTTCAGTGTTCTCATCATGGTCGGCTGTATATTATTTGGACTTGGCTCAGAATCCTTTATTCACCTCTTTCAGTTTGACAGATTGGTTTTTGAAACAATTTTTACCTTTAAAGGTCAAGTGTGTAAGATTTAGGTGAAAGGAATTTTTGGCAGAAATTGAATATAAAATAATCCTAGTGATGTTTTCACTGGTGTGTTTCATCTAAATTGTATGAACTGTAGTTTTCTGTACCATAGAAAGGTCCCTTTATGTTAAAAATGTAATATTTACATGGAGGGGGTCCTCTCTGTGGAGGCCACCATGATTTTTACTGTTGTCCAAACTGGACAAACTAAAACCTTATGAGTTTTCATGACAACTTAAGTTCACTACAGGTTCTCATGTTTGGAAGGGGAGGGTGAGGTGAGGAATATGCAGCTGCAACATGCAACTTCACCTCTAGATGTCACTAATTCTACACACTGAACCTTTAAAGCAATAATGTTGTGAAAACATTATTTTTGTCATTCTGTGCAGGATGAGTCCCATTTCCTGAAGAACATAAAGACGGCTCGGTGTAAAGCAGCTTTACCTCTCCTGAAGGTGCTTTTCTTTATCTTCTCTTATATTGTAACACTATATTGTATAGTGAAAAATATAAAAATATATATGAAGTTAAGTATGTATTAAAAATGTTAAAATATATTATGAAATAAATGATCTTGGTCGGGTTTAATTTCTTGTCAGCAGTGATGTGATGAGTTGTTCTTTTCATCTTCAGGCAGCAAAGAGAGTGATTCTTCTGTCTGGGACCCCGGCAATGTCCAGACCCTCTGAGCTCTACACCCAGATTCTGGCTGTCAGACCTAACCTCTTCCCTCGCTTCCACGATTTTGGGATGCGCTACTGCCAAGCCAAGCAGGTAGTTTAATCCTGACGGGTTCTTATTTGAGCGTTAGTAGTGGTTTTTGTGTTCTCATCTGGACGGAGATATTTTGTAAATCGAAGGTTATGAGAATGGAGATTTTTTCAAATATCCTTTAAAAAAATATCTGCAGTAATGTAGACAAGGCCGATAATGATAACAAGCTGAATGTATTTTCAGCTCTTTCTACATAGAACACTAACAGTTAAGTGTACTGGCCAATTGCCACATGTCCCCTTGTAGCGCTTGTCAGTAGCGCTTGTCTGTCCCCCTGGCCATTATTTTCTTTATTAATTTCTTCTCTTCTTCATCTTCCAATCCTCTCCAGACGACTTGGGGCTGGGACTACTCCGGCTCTTCTAATCTTGGGGAACTGAAGCTGCTGTTGGAAGAGTCTCTGATGTTGCGCCGTCTCAAATCTGAAGTCCTGTCCCAGCTTCCTCCTAAACAGCGCAAGGTTGTCACGGTGACCATAGATGGGATCAGCACCCGCATGAAAGTGGCACTATCAGCTGCTGCCAACGAGTTGTCCAAGGAACATAGCAATGTAGGTTACACATTTTTTCTAATTTCTTAGAAAAACAAGAAAGATTTATGAACTTCATATCAACCAGCCCATTCCTTTAAAATGCTCTCTGTAACAAGCTGCACAAAACTATTACACATAACCCAAGATTTCATATAAATGAGATGAGTATGTTGTTGTCGTGGTTGTCATTGTTTAATGATGTGTACTGTTTCCTAGATGTTGCTCTGTTGTTTGTATTGTAGGACATGAGAGTGTGAATGTGAGTGTGAAACTGAATTTCCTCTATCAGAGACAATTAATTAACTAACTAACTTCCTAATTTAACTTAAATAGAGTGCAGGTATTTTTTGCAGTCAGGAATTGATGTAAAACAAATCAGTCGTCACTTTATTTGGAAGAAATAACATTGGAAGAAGTAAAATACCTAAAAAAAAAAACATTGAACAGATTGCATCAGATATTTTTTTAAAGACCAGGGTCAATTCTGTTGCAATAACTACAGAAAACTGTAAGATACTGTTGCTTTGAGAGATGTCATAAAAGTTTCTTTATAAACCCTCTCTGCCAGATCATTTCGAAATGTTGGGTCAAAATGGTTTTTCCCTACCTTTTGAAATATGAGACAACAAAACTTCAGGATAGAACGTTTCTGAGAAATCATCTGTCCACCATAAAAACATTGCACATTTTTTGTCAAGAGGTAGATGGCCGTGTCGTGACATTTAAGATTTCAAAGACTGAGGATTCTTTGATATTTCATATCTCTTGTATGTATAAATAACTACCATGATACTAAAATACTTTATAATAAAATAAATATGTTGTAGGTATATCATGTTAAACTTCCCTCAACAGCACACATGTTCTACTATTTCTTTGAAATAAAACACAAATGTATTTTCTACTTAAAATTGAGTCTTTGTGATTTAAAAATTCATCACAGTCAAGAAAAGGCCTAACAGACCCTTGTTGAGCCCAATGAGTCCTTTCAGGCCTCAGACACGTACAAGTGCTCTTAAACTGACCCAGAATCCTCCAGAGAGCCTTGTTTTAAGTGTTGATACCCTCAGACGGGAACGAGTTGTTGAGCTTGATTGTGCATAATCCCACTGCTCCTCGGAGTAATGGGACTCCTATCAAATCATCAAACACAATTCTGTCAGTTCTTATCATAGGTCATGTCTTATCTGTTTCAGAAAAAGGAAGAGAAGCAAGCCCTGCTCATCTTTTTTAACCGCACCGCTGAAGCCAAGCTACAAACGATTATGTAAGTGCAGACCCCTTAATGATGGGGATCAGTTCAGCTGAATCATCTTACATTTGGTCTAATCAGAATCTTTTGTGAGATCATTGAGATAGCTCTGGAACTAAGATAAGAGTGTGAAGAGACAAAGACAGAACATTATAATTTGCCTCTTTAAAAATAGTGGAGAGCTGTGTTTGTGTCTGTCACTGGCAGGGAGTACATCACGGACATGCTGGAGTGTGGGAGGGAGAAGTTTCTAGTGTTCGCCCATCATAAGTTAGTTCTGGACCATATCTCCTGTGAACTGGGGAAAAAGGTGAGTAAGATATAATCTACAGAAGGCTACATATGCAAAACAACAGTTTGAGTTTTTAGTGTGTTCCATGTCCCAGGATGCAGGGTTTAAGGCAGCGGGATGTTCCCATATGTGAGACTGTGCCTTATATTGTAGCCAGCCACCAGGGGGCTTCGAGACACTTCGCTTCCTTTTTGGGGAATTGTCATGTTGTCGAATGCTATGATATATGATTTAAAATTAATAAGAGTCGGGTTGGTAAAATGTGTTTGTTGATTTGCTCTGGCTTTAAACCATTGGATTCTGAATATATTTTAAGAATAAGTGTTGTGTAATTGTACTGAAAATGGTACAAGAAACTAGAATGATCTTTCGCTTCCTCTGCAGAATGTCCAGTACATGCGTATTGACGGGGCCACGCCATCAGTTGAGCGCCAGCAGCTGTGTGAGCAGTTCCAGTACTCGACTAAGACGTGTGTAGCTGTGCTGTCCATCACTGCAGCGAACATGGGTCTGACTCTGCACTCTGCAGACCTGGTGATCTTTGCTGAGCTCTTCTGGAACCCCGGAGTAAGCCACATCACGATGTTACAGAAAAATACTGCACATTCTTTGAAACTCTTTTATTGGAAATGCAATTTATCACTTGGTTCCAGCAAATCTCTTTTAGCCTCTTTAGGTCTACATGTAGGATTTACTGTAAAGTTGAGACAGACACCTACATCAAATGGCAGATGGTGCCGCAAGTAAGATTGTAAGCAGCTAAAAACAGATATTTGAAATTGGAGGAAATATAAACTCAACTTAACTGAACCTACAGTAAACTGAAATTAAAGCAATACTATGAACCTTTTCATCTTAAAATAACCCCTTCAAATAAGTTTGATGATATTCAGACATGGAATCGAGAGAATGATGCTGCTTTAACTCCCATTCCTCACCCTGAAAGTCTGTTCTTGTTCTATGTGACCTTGAGCAGTTACAATCTCCTGTGAGAAGTGTGGAACGGATAGTCGCAGCTTAAATTGTCAGAATCAGGCCCAGTTCAAGAGTAATGCTGAACTGTAGACCAGTTAAGAAGGTGGAAGACTTTAAAAACCAGCATTTGTCTCCGATATTCAGTAAGAAAACTTTTTAAAACATGAAGAATTCTATTTATAATCCATTGTAATTATAATCCCATCTAATGGCTTGAACAATGTCAACATCAAAGCTGCACATGTGCAGCTTCTGTCCTGTGTGACAATGTTCGGTAGTAAATTGTGGTATTAGTTTGCAAAGATAGGAAAACCAAGGACGAGACATTCAGTATGTAAATTGGAGCAGAACTTCTCTCTATTTGGCAGCAAATTTTCTTTTTTCAATTTAAGGGTTAACATCTCTTTGGAAATAACCATTTCTCATGGGAAAATCAGTCCACCTCTGTCTGTCAGAGGAGCTCGTTCACACCCCCGCACTCTCCAGGGTAACAGTGGAGTGGGGAGTGATGTGAAGATGTTCCACGGAGGCAAACCTTCAATTCTAAAATATGTGTTAGAAAGGGGACAAATGCACAAAGAAGCATAGTAGTGTTTTAATTCCAGTTGTTAAATATCAGCCATTTTTAACCTGGTTGACCTTTTTCAAGCAACCGTCAGAGTCATTGCACCTGGATGAGGACAGGGAAGATTTAGTAATATAATACATCAGGTGTTAGTTTTTTGTATTGCCTTTTCTCTGCAGGTTCTCATTCAGGCAGAGGATCGGGTGCACCGTATTGGCCAAACCAACAATGTGAACATTCACTACCTGGTTGCCAAGGGAACTGCTGATGATCACTTGTGGTATGTGTCAATCCTGACATGTTCCATCTCTGAGGATTATCCTGTGTTCAGACTGTTTCTTCTCATATTCACAAGTCGTCCACCACTGCAAGCCACTGAGCCAAAACTGAAACAGTGGGGGGGAAGATTAATATGCATACTGTGAGAAACAGTGCATTAAATGGTGTCTGCTCTATTATCGTCATTTATTTATGTCTTGCTTCAGGCCAATGATCCAGGGAAAAATGAACATCTTAAAACAAGTGGGTCTTTCTGAGTCAAACCTCTCAGCCAACGCAGTGAACTCCAGCTTCCACTCTAAGGTAAATCCTGCATATGTGTATAAATAAATGACATGTAATAATGTTAAATAATGCTCACACATGTTTATGCATGAAATACATTTACATGAGATTACCCAGGACAATAGAACATAGCTATATGTCTGTAGTATCTTGATTATTTGGGTTTGTCTAGGATCCAAACCAGAGGAGCATCATGGATATGTTCCAGAGATCTTTCACAGCTGAGGACGACATCGACGAGGCCATGTTACTGGAGGCTGTAGACGACTGGGACAACGCTCTGCCTGAAAACACCTCTGGACAACACCATGGCATGAGCCGACAAAGCCCCAGCAAAGGGAGCATCAAGGAATATTTCAGCAGATGACTTTTACCGACAAATTATTTTAAGATAATCTTGTCCTCGTTTTCTGCCGATCATGACTGATGTGAACTTACATACTTTTGCGAATGTTTTAGAACATGCAAAATAATAGTCTAATAAACCTATATATTTTTTGCTAATAAGAAAAATAAATAAATGTAATGCAAGGTTTTTAGAATCCTTCTTAAACCTGACTGCTTCACTGTGGTGACTGCGTTTCCTTTTTAAGTCTTTCAAGTGGTTTTTATGGAGGACCACAAGTGTCACTGAAATAATAGAAATTCAGTTTGTGAATTACATTACATTTCATTTAGCTAACGCTTTTATCTACAATGAGTGCATCAACCATGAGGAAATTAAATTCCATTATTATTTGATACATTATTTAATGCACTTATTGGCTGTTTCATGTTGTTTTTGTGATCCCAAATTTGATTTGAACTATTTAGTAATGTTACCAATTAAATATTTTACTTTGTGATTCAGTCAATTCATAGATCAATACATCAATTAATTAACAAATGTTGATGCCTATTTTATTATGGTGCCTTATTAATTTTGTGACACTGGTGGTCCTCCATACTAATAGAGCCTAATCATTCCTACTCATTGCCACAGTAGTAAAAACTATTGTAGGTAATTCAAGATAGACTGAACACAGTGATGTGTGGTTCTCTGGAACAGTGAACAGTTTGAACAGTGAACTCTCGGCTGCTTTGTGGTGACTGACTGACCCATCAGCTTTTGTGATGATCCAAGACAACCCTTATTTGTTCCTAAACATAAGCTCCAGCAGTATTCTGAGAAGTTAACCCTCTGTTAAGTGATACCTATGATTTGCTTAGGATTATACTGCCTCATAATACCACAAATAAAAGGTGGAAATGTCAGATGGATCTATTTATTTTGTCATGCTTCATAGAAAACATATTGTGGTATATGCTATGATGCGAAAATAATAAAAAAGAAAACATTAAGTTCAAGCTGAGCGCTCTGGATCGTCATTCTCTCCTCTCTGTGGACTGCAAGGATTTGAACTTTGTGGGTCGGCTGCAAAATAAAAAAAAAGATGATTAGATCAGCTGAGATTCTGTAGATCCTGCAACCAAAAATATCTGTTACATTGAATGGCTGAAACTGATCGGCTAAAGAATTTGCTCAGATGCAGCATTTTATCTCCCAAACCATTTATACTCGAATTAAATGGGATCACAGAAAGGCATTGTACTTATGCACTGAATTTGCAGAGGCATGTATCAGTTGTGTATGTCTTCATGCCTTTCTGAACAAGAACCTGTCCATGTTCAGTCTTGGATGAATCATGGTCTTTAATTGGTGCAGCTAATGTATCAGTGGAACTCATCTCATACCTTCTTGTTGTTGGTTTTCAGACATTTCTTCACTCTGAGATTGTAACATTCCTGTGTTTTCTTCTGCAGAACTGTCTTCCTGTTCGACTTAAAGAAACACATTTTTTATTTTAAGTATTTCAACCAGAAAAAATATGGCTAAATTTGACTATTATTTCCAGCAGAAGCAAGAACCAACACATAAAAAATATCAGAACGAAATTGTTATTCATCTGAAACCAGATGGAAATGACTGTCTCATGCATCAGATCATTACCTGAAATCGTCCCGGCACCCTGTCCATCACCAGTGTTGTTCTCTGCCTCTGTGCAGATTTCACCGAAGATGAAACGGATCTTCTCTGCTGCGTGCTGCTCGTTTGAGGCGCCGTGGACTGAGTTGTGGAGAATGTCGGAGGCAAAGCGGGCCCTCAGAGAATCCGGGTAAGTCTCCTTAGCTTGGTCAGGGTCCGTGGGGCCCATCATGGCCCTCCACTCCTCCACTGCATTTTCCTTAGTCAGGAGAAGCATCATGCAGGGCCCCCTGAAACAAACAATGGCAGCATGTTCATATTCATGTAACAGACAGAATGTTGGGTCATGGGTAAAGCCTGACATGCATAGAGAGAACTACTGAAACACCTTGTTGGATTATGAGATACATGTTATATAACAACTGGCTGCTGATTGATTTTCCTTCACCTTTCACCAATAATGCATTTGCCATCTTTCAAACAGTGAAACCGTGATGCACCTGTCAACGTATTCTTTCTGTTTACTGACAGACTCATAGAACCAAATAAAAAACATCAAGAAAAGGAAGAATTCAGGCTAAACCTAAGCTTACATTGAGAAATAGCAATGGGAAAGGTTATCTCCCAAGCTGAAGTGCCCAGCTGCACCCGTCTCTCTGCCCTTTGTGTCCGAGCAGTTGTGTAACCACCAAGTAAAGAGGCCAATCGGAGCGGAAGATAAGTCTAAAATCTAGATGTGCTGTAGAACTAAGAATGAAATTGAGATGGACTTTCTCGCCAGTTGCCTGAGGCCACCTTGATTCGGAGCTGCTATGATTACTGTAAAAACAAAAGTGCAAAACTTGCAGCAGCCACAAGGATGAGGGTCGGTCTACTTTGGTCCCTTTAACCTGCTGCGGAGACCAGGGACAAACTAAACGACAGGTGAAACTAACCGACACATGAATTCCACCAGCTGGCCGAAGAAAGGCTTCTCCCTGTGCTCTCTGTAAAACTCCTCGGCCATTTCCCTTGACAGCACCGTCTCCTTCAGCTGTGTGACAGAGAAGCCACCAGCATGGATCTCCTCCAGAATCTTTTCTGATAGAAGGAACAAAAGAAATGTTGTTGTCAATCGTCATCTGTGCATCGGAAGAAACCAAAGTATATTTGAACATTTCTATATTGTTCTAAATGGGCAGATAGAACCTTTGTGTTCCTCCATGGCGTCCGGTTTGATAACTGCCAGCGTCCTCTGTTTGGGGAAGAAGAAGTCGATCTCTCGCTCTGCCTCTTCTTGGCTTCTACTGCCGTGCAGCTGGTTGATGGTTTCATTCTCCACAGTGAACTGGGCCCTTAGACTGGTGCCAGAATTACAGGTGTTACTGAGCTGTTCATATATTTGAAATAAACTCCAAGAGGTAAGAGGCAGTCATTATGTAAGCAATCTGTATCCATTGGTTTTCAGCTGGAAAGGGGGGTGTAAGGGTTTAGTTACTCTTTAAACACAAATTTGTGTAAACTCATCTGACAGGGTTCCACCACTCACCAGTCAGGACTCTCCTCTTTAGCTTTCTTAACGTCAGCAGGACCAAGGATGCTCCTCCAGTGGTCTACAGCCCCTGTTCTGGCTAGAGCCAAAGCTAGCACCGGCCCACTGTAAATAGACACAAATAAACCTTTGCAGCAGTAAGCTGCGAATTTCATCTTTCTGTGCGAACCCGTCATGTTTACGTGGCTTTTCTCCGGGCACTCTGTCGTCCTCTCACAGTCCAAAAACATGTAGATTGGGGAACGATTAATTGGAGACACTAAATTGCCTGTCGGTGTGAATGTGAGCGTGACCTGTTGTATGTCTCTGTATGTGATGGACTGGCCACCTGTCCAGGGTGCACCCCGCCTCTCTAACTGGGATTGGCTCAAGCTCCCCCCACAACCCCTCAAAGGATAAGCAGCACAGATATTGGATGGATGGATGTGTAAAGTACCTGGTCATGCTTCTCAGCAGTGCAGGAAAGTAGTCCTCCTCAACATGTTGGAAGTAAAACTGTCTGACCTGCTCCTCTGTCAACATCACCTCTCTCTGAAGAGCCACTGAGAAACCTGAATTCTGGATTTGGGCCAGGATGTCTTCTGCAGAACCACAGATATGAACTCTGTCATTTACAGTGTTGATATATTCTATTATGAAAGAGTTTCTCTGCTGTGATGTGTTAACTGCACCTGAGCCACTCAACACCTTTACTGAATGAATCAGGGAGCAGTCCCACTACGCTGACATGATCCACCTTTTGCGTGTATCTGCACTCAAACACGTGGTTTTTGTGCTTATGCGTTTGGCACGGGCCCCACCTCTGTTCTCCCTGGCAACGTCAGGCCGGATAAGAGCCAGCGTCCTCTCCACACGCTCTTCCTCCCCATCCTGCTCCGTTACCAAGGCCGTCCTGAAGTTGGGGAAGAAGAAGGCGAGCTCCCTGCTGGCCTGGTCGCTGTCCTCGCTGCCGTGCACTGCATTGAACAGTGGCTGTGTGCCGTATTGTGCCCGCAAGCTGCAGGAAGCCAGGGGGGAGAGAGGAGAGCAGAGCAGATGGTTGCTCTGCTGGTGCTCGACCAGAGAGAAGCATTATGTTTGGGTGTGTCTGACGGAGCGGGTGAGAGAATGTGCCGCTCACTCTCTTTTCCAGACTTTAAATTGAGATTGTTTCCCACTGTTGCAGTCAACGGTGCATGAATAAGTGTCTATACAAACAAATATTTGTTGTAACAATGACAATTTCCTCATGCTGCATTACACTGTTTAATGATGATGTTTTTCTCAACTCTACTTTTTTTCTAAAAGGAGCATATGTATAATTTCCAGTAACTAACCTTTCTGGCTTTTCTCTCCTGGCTTCCTCGACGTCTGCTGGGCCGATGAACTCACGCCACGCTGGCACGACATTGGCAGAGCCTTCGACCTGAGACAGCACCAGAATATGGGAGGGACCGCTGGACATAAACTGCACCAAGTCCTGAAAGCATTCCTGTGAGCCAGCATCATAAACACACACAGGCACATGCAGAGACGAGGACAGACGGATACAACATGTAAATGAAAAGAGAGAAAATAGAGTAGAAATGATTTTGTAAAAGACACGAGAAATATTTGACGGTACAGGCCATTTATACTTTCTATCATTTCATGGACATGACACCTTTTTCTGGATCATGTAGCCTCATCACAAACAGTGAGATAAGCAAAAAAAAAAACTGCTCATACAGCAGCTGTGTTGTGCAGAGATTCAGATGGAAGTGTGATGTGCTGCAGACTAATTGAAATGGTTTTTTTTATTGTGTGTAACTGCTCTCTCAGGATATTGACTCAGAATACAATGACATCATCAGTCTGACAGGTACATCAGTCCCTGCAATAAACAATAACCAGGACATCTGTATCTGTCAGATGTACGGTCGGCATCTTGACATATCTACATCAATATATCACATATATCATATGTAATGTAGGTTTTTCATGTTACTTTTACTCACATATGATGCATTTTTAGGTGTCTATGCCACTTAACCTGATTTTTTGCAATGTAAACGCCTTTATTTTAATTATTCATGTGCTTATCATGATATATTGTAAGGTGCCTAGAAAGGTGTCAAGAAATCACATTTATTATATTATTAGAAGATGTCTCACCTCCTTTCTATGAATATTATATTTTCCTTTTTCAATTATAGATTTTTTTGGGTTCACTGTATCAATACCTCTGCTGCTTTGTGTTGGTAAAAGTCTCGAGCCTCATCCTCAGTCAGCGTGCGCTCCTCGTGGGCCAGGATCTCAAACCCAGCATCTTGAATCTAACCAGGGGAATCATGTCAGAGCGTAATGAAATAATATCAGCAGGACGGCTCGAGACAATCTTGTCTTCCCAGAATGTGAGCAGTGTTTGTCTCTGCGTACCTTCATAATGATCTCGTTTGCTTTGCCGTGAGCAACAGCATCTGGTTTGATGATGGTGACTGTGTAGGATTTACTGACAGGAACTGGTGAGCAGTTTGAAAGGTGGTCAGTATGGCTGATATAATTGAAAATGGTTCACGGAGGTACCAGTAAACGATGGTAATAACATTAACAACAATAACAACACCAATGACAATTGACCAAAAACATGATTATACTGTCTCCACAATACCAGTTATGCTTTCTTCATATTCTGACAGCTGAGGTGTCTCCTCCTCTTCTGTATTCTCATCAGTCAATAGACCATCATCCTTAACCTGAGAGACACGACATAAAAACACTTGCTGGACTTGACAGTCTATAAACACTTGTGCAACATGTGCGTGTGTGTGCTCACCACTTTGCGTTCACCACCTTGCTCCAGGACCATCTTCTCCTTGGCCAGTTCCTCTACAATCATCTTCTGGAGCAGAGGCGCGTTGGCCCCTCGCAGCACAGCCACCAGCTCCCCCCCCTTTTCATTCAACAGAAGAAAAATACAGAAAACAACAAAAATATATGAATATATGCTCAGGAATGAGGATAACACTGATAGCAGAGATTTAACAACAAATAACATGAAATAATGTGCTGAGAGGTCACAACTCTAGCTGGCTCTATTTCCTGGCCCACATCATAAGCACCTGAGTATAAGAGAACAAATATACACACCAAAAAATATATAAATATATACAGTATATATATATAAATAATAATGAATAACCACTGACGTATAGACAGAGATCTAGATATATCTATTCATAATGCACCCCTCAGTTTACAGTGTCATTTTTTTTGAATGACTCCAGCACCAATAACATACTCCTACTACATAATCTATATCTAATTTACTCACAACTCCCTCGTTCCTCGTGGTCTTATTTTCCTCCACAGTGCTCACGTATACATATTGTATATGTATCCCAGTGGGAGCCACTAAATATTTTATTGGTACCTGATTCAGACAACAACAATGTTAATCACGACCTTAGGTTGTGTAACGTCGAAAATATCTAAGCAAATAACACTGAAATAACTAAGCAAATTTTATGGAAGAATATGTATGATAAGGATGAAAAGGTAAAAACGAACAGAGACTTGATGGTTCATGCATATATGTGCTAAACCTTTAATACACATTTACTGTAAAAACATGCATCCACACACACACACTTACCCCATAGAAGAGGAAGGTGGGCTCACATTTCCCACGATACCTCTCCAAAGCATCAGTGCTGTCTGCCTCGGCCTGCACACACACACACACACACATTCAGGTTTATTGATTCTTACTCAAAATCATTTTTTTAATTCTTCGATCTAAAAAATAAACATGTCTTTTTCTTACTGTGGCAAAATGCAGTAGATCATCACCCAGTTCGTTCTTTATCTTCCGTAGCAGACTGACCACAGCTCGACAGGGACCACACCACTGCTGGTTCACATCCACAACTAGAAGAAGAAGAAGAAGAAAGACAGTGTGACAGGAGCAATAGAGGATAACCATTGATTGATTGATTGACTGATTGATTGGTTGATTATTTTATCCCTTCATCATCACATGTTGCACAACAAGTATAAACAATATAGACGCTGTAAATAAAGTCCAAACAACCTTTACATGATATCATAGTGACTGCAGTTATCTCAGTGAACACAGGGGGGCAGCAGCACACAGGAAATTACTGTTTACAGTGATGCGTTCACGCTGAATAGGACATAACAGCATCTCCATTACTTCTGAGGATCCTACCTGTTAAACCTTTGGTGGCGAGCATCTCCTCCCACTGCTCTTGGTTTGTGACACACGCCTGGACAAGAAAACCCAGATACAAGTTACTAAAAGCAACTTAAAGCATCACAGGAAGAAGCAAACTGTGCTCATGGGGACAGAAACCATGCTGTGCGCTCTCCAACCTGCAGACTCGCATCTTTCTTCTTGGCTGCCATTTGATTGTCTCGTCAATTCAACAGATGTATTGACCCAGACCGATCGACTTATGCGTTGTGTAAATAAGGCTGATTAGCTGGAGTGCTAATACACACAGATGCTAATGTATCACGTCTCCTCTGGGGCCGCTGCTTGCGCTTGTTTGGACCCCGTCGGTTGCTTAGCAACGGCGCCTTCCTCCTTTTGAAGCCACGTGACTTTTAATTACGAAGCTGAAAATGTCGAGTCGTTGTTGAAGAAGTTGAGTTGATTTCTGTTTGGTACATCTATCTATCTATCTATCTATCTATCTATCTATCTATCTATCTATCTATCCATCTATATATCTAAATATCTATTTTACCCCCATGAGTTATGCCTGTATAGATCAAATGAGGTGCACTGATATTATTAATTTATTGTTTACCTATTTGCACATTAGAAAATATGGCTTTTATACTAGGCCCAAACACTTACACAAAGACCTCTATAGAAACTCAAGGCAAGATAGACATAACTGAATTCTCGTCTTTTCACATTTTTATTTTTATTATTTTGCACACTGCTGCAAAGGGCTTCCAAACAGTATATTATTCACAGATTATGCTGTCAAGGCTGTGCAGTGTTATTACTACAACAGAAAACTCCCCAGTCTGATATCAGTATTGAGCCTTGAATTCTAAAATGTATTAAATGTATTAGGCACAGTGTTGCCAGGGATTAAAAGCAAAAAAGAATATTTAAATACAGTTTGAGATTCTTAGTGTTTCAAATGTATTCTATTTCTGGTCCACTACATGTCAGAAGAGTGGATTGTACATTTTGTGATTTTTCTCCATGGTTATGAAAGTAATATTTGCTACTGGGTTTTCAGATTAAGAATGTGTATGCATTTCACAGAAAATCTAATTTAGTTCATTAAGAGTTAAACTGAAATCTTAACTGTTCTAAAATTGACAGGGTTTTTTTTTTTTGCGAGGGCTGTGAGAGAATAATCAGATTGGTTCTTCCATGAGGATGAAGGTGTAACCTTCAGGTATAACATTCATGAACCAAGTGTACAGCTAAATACTGCAGTGTGCGGTGTATTAAGATGACCTTGTCTCTTCTAAAGCAGCTTGTGGAGGGGGAAAAAAACATCAAAACACTTTCATCATAACCTGAAGCCCCTCTTGTGATGTGGAGAGGGTCAAAGCCCCAGAGCAATATGTGACCCCCCCCTTCATCCCCCTTTGTGTGAGGTGTTTTTATTGTGTCACCTCCAAGTAACCATCAAGTGCGTCATCTGTACATAGAAACTCACAGAAACCAACCCACTGCTATGGTAACATGCATAATGAGTGGTGATTTAATTTAATGGGCAATCCGAACATTCAATAAATGATTACAGCTGCAGCAACACAATGAATCGAGTAGTTGACTGATATATATTGATAATTCAAACATTTCAACATTTTGTGCTTTCATGTTCTTCATTATGATGATTTTCTGCTTTTCTTTGTCTTCTCTTATAAGAAACTAAATGTCTTTAGGTTTGAAGTATTTATCAGACTAAACAAATCTTGCATTTGAAGATGATGAGGCCAATTTTTGGACATTTGGCAGATGAAACTATCAACTGAGACATGAACAGATTAATAAACAATGAAGATTAATGTGATCACAAGGAAGGAGGGTGCAAACAAAAGATGCTGGAAAGTGGCATTATGGGAAGTGTAGAGGCCAGTATTCTGGAGAACCTCAGCCAAACGTTGGGACATCTCATCCTGTGTATATTTATTCATTTCCTTCTGAATGTCTCTCTGATAAACACCTTACACTTTATAAAAGTGCATCTTATACTGATGTAATATAATTGACAAATTAGCTTTGAAAAAAAGTCTCCCCTTCAAACAGAGAGCCTTTGCCACTTCCTTGTACATACGTGGTGGTTATAAACACTGGTACTTAATTGTTACTCTGAACAAAACCTCCCTGTAAGGAGCTCGTACAAAGCAATCGCTATCTTTTTCCAGTTTGCTGTACGCCCCAATCTCTCAAATGCCTGTTTTTATGAGTTTGTGCGAATCTAAAGACTTTACCTTCATAATGTTGCTTATTTATTCAGTGAAGGCATTCTGTGTGTGTAATATATGCATCTTTAATGGAATCAAGTGTTCACTATAGGTTGTAGCCTCCTCTAACTCTTACATTCATTTGATAGTGAAATTGGCCCTCAGAGGAGATCAGACCACTTTTGCATGTTCTTTAATATCAATGAACTGCTGCATTTAAGTGGTTCAGCTCCGCAGCCCCTGACGCTCGCTAAAGTCGGCCCAGAAAAGCAAGTCGCACAATTAGAGCAATTTTGTAAAGGGACAAATTACAGTGAACTGTGACAGCGAGTGAGAGAGGGAATTATTAAATGAAACACTCAAAATGGCAGAGTCCTTTATTTTTTGTCGACAACAGCTGCACAGCTTGTTTTGCTCCCACTGTACAACATGTATCATATGATACTGCTCTATTAGTAACCCCTGTGTCTCACTCCAAACTCATAATGCGTCCAGATGGGAACAGCAATCACCGCCCCTCATGGCTGCGTCGACGAGGACCCAACACAACCCTTTTCCTGCAGAAATAAGACTCACACATTGAGTGCGTAATATCTAGCCCTGTGTTTTTGTGCTGCTACTCATCACCGAGATGCATGGAAGTGATTGCTTTCTTTCTATCAAGTCAATGAAAAACACTGATTTGATGCTTTTGTCCCATGTGCCCGATTCAAACATTAGGCCTTGAAATCGTCATGTCATCAGTAATGACTTCTGCTTCTGCCTGTAGCTGACTCATGCATGCTGAACAGATAAACAGGCCCACTCCTGCAAACGGAAATGTGACTGTTCTGTCCCAGGGGAATGCACTGACAGAAGTTGTTGTG